TAGGGTTTAGGGTTTAGGGCGCTCTTTTGGAGGACTTATAAGTAGTGACAAGAGCTCTATGCTATGTCGCGGAAACGACAATGCAACAAGTGACAACCATGCAGAAACCTTCAAACGCAAATCGGGTAGTCCCTTTCAAAACCTCAACCCTCAGCCCACATTCTGCATGATGTCGAATCTTACATCCCTGGCCCTTCATGTTAAATACTACATTCCCTCATCCGACACCTGGCAGCGTCTACGGCATCGATCCGGCAGCAAAGCTCCCGCATGCAAAACCCCAGCCTCAGCAGACTCGAAAGCTCCATCAGGGCTTTACAAGTAGCAGAGCCACACTTTAGGGGTTTAGGGTTTAGGGNNTTAGGGTTTACCTGGGCCCTGAAGAACCTAGCTTACTTACTAGGGTTTCTTAAAAGGTAGGTTATCAAGGCTCCAGGCAGGGTTTAGAGTTTAGGGTTTGGAGTTTAGGGTTTTTGGTTGGGTACTGGCCCCCCATACAGTAACGGACTATATTGGGGTGTCAAATAGCTTCCATATAAATATCCGAGATCAGGGCTTTCGGGTTTCAATAGTCTTGGGTGTCCAGGGTTTGGGGTTTGGCTTACCCAGGGAGCCCAATACCCCTTAATTAAGGAATACACCTTAAATCATACGGTCCTTAGTGTCATGGTTTTAAGGTATATATTCTCAATTATGAAGTATTGGGCTCTCTGGGTAACTAAGCTGACTAGCTAGCCAGAGGACTCATGTTTGGATTTGTTGCAAAGGGTCTCTCACCGAATACCCTAAACCCTAAACCCTAAACCCTAAACCCTAAACCGTCTTGCGATTAGTACTTGCAGGGTGCTGAGTTCGGTCCGCTAAATTCCGAATTCACCGGTGGTAACGATCCTTGAAAATCAGGAACGGGTTCTGGGGCACCTTTATACTCTAGTGTTATATAAATATAAATATATATATATATATATATATGTATAGGGTTTAGGGTTTAGGGGTTTGTATATATATGTATATATATATATATAGGGACTAGAAGCAGGCTTTGTTACTAATTGTCGTTCCGACCTCGGTATGAGGCCCTTGCAGGACGAGAAGCTGCAGGCTCTGGCGGACTGTAGCCCCGAACATCTCAACTCACAAATGGGAGTTTCCGAAAATAGGGGACCCTAATATAGTACCCTAAATAGCAGGACCCTTATTATAATAAGGACCCCAAAATAAGGTACCCTAATTTTTGGAAACTCCCAAATAGAAACAGATTCAGATAACCGTAGTGCTGAAAAATCGGATCAGGCTTGGCTATGATGTATTTTTTCTGCTGGTGGAAATGGCGGTGGCCGTGGGACTCCCTAAACCCGAAACTCTAAACCCCAAAACCCTAAACCCCAAAACCCTAAACCCGAAATCCTAAACCCTAAAACCCTGAACCCTAAAATCCTAAACCTCTTCACCATTCTGCATTAAAGCCTTATCACATGCGTGGGCAAAGGCAAGGCCCACCCCCCGACCTTGAGCAAATTCGTGGGCAGACGGTTTAGGGTTTAGGGTTTAGGGTTTAGGGTTTAGGCTTTAGGGTTCGCAAAAGAAAAAGTCGGATTGTGGCTTTAAGCCCTGGGGTTAGAATTCAAAGCCTGAGGGTTTTGGATTTAAGCTTTAGGGTTGTCTGAAAAGCATATTGAAGGCCCGCAAAATTCGTGGGCAAAGGCAAACATCATATTGTAGCACCGGTAGGGTTTAGGATATAGCGTGTTGGGTTTAGGATGTAGGCCTTAGGGTTTAGGATTTGAACTTAAACTCTAGGGTTGTCTGCAAGCACCCTGAACCCTGAAACCGTAAACCCTAAAACCGAAAACAACTAAAAACTCTGAACCTTAAAACTCTAAAGCCCTATACCCCAAAACCCTACAACCCTTTACACTAAAACCTAAACCGTAATACCCAAAAACCCTCAACCCAAAAACCCTAAACCCTGAAACCCAAACCCCGAAACCCTAAAACCCTTAACCCCAAACCCCTAAACCCTAAAACCCTAAACACTGAAACCTCAATTAAACCCCAAAAGCCCAAATCCATAAAACCCGTTATCCTAAAACCCTAAAGCCCCAAACCCTCAACCCAAAAACCCAAAAACCCTAAACCATCTACCCTAAAAGCTCTCAAGCCCTGAACCCTCAAAGGAACCCTTACCCTAAACCC